CTACTACCAGAGGCGCAACTTACATTAGACCTATTTCTTGAACCCAAATTCAAAGAACGATGTTTCTTTTTTATTAAATTTTCATTTGCTAATCACAACAAGGCAATTTGGTTCAAATGAAAGTTGTACATTTATTCTCTAAGGGGAGAAAGAAATGAACATCAGAGCACATCAGATTCAGAATATAAGGGGCAACTTGCGTTGCTCATAAAACCCAAGAGCAAACCCACCCGCACCCCTCATATGGTAGCCAAAGTAAAAAAAATGTCAGTATCCTTGTATGGGTTGTCAGTCAACTAGAATCTCTCCTCCAAGAGAAAGTTGGCAGGCCCAATTCTTGCTGTATAACCATACTTGGATGTACTATACTTTCGGTGAACACCTGTAAGCTTCCCTGTTCCTGCTTTCTGATGGAAAGAAACCATCAGCCTTGAGCATTCCCTATACAAAAGCGTGGAAAGAAATTGAGTAATGAATTGGTGGAAGTAATACTTCAGGATGCTATTGAAGCATTAAAAAAATATACTCACAGAAGTTGCTCCTCTGAGTAGGCAGTGTACCACTCACTGGTTTTAGTCCATTGCTTAGACCCATAAAGAGTGCACTGAGCAGTGTAAATTGCGGCAGCAGCTAATAAAGAGGGCGGAAACTTAAGCATTTCATATTCTACCAGGCAAAGCTCAATGATGAAGAATGAGAGAAGCTCAAGCTGGAACAAGGCCATATTCAAAAATTTGTGTCAAGAGTCACTTAGCCAAGCATGCAGTTCTCCCAAGAAGATTCAATAAATTAGTGCATATCACAATGTTGTGGCAAGAAAGTACAAACCTTCTTGTTAGATTGAGCAGCTTTCAGAAACCTCCTCATGAACACATATGATGTAGGAACAGACAGATTAAATTGCAAGGTATTGATCATCAGCTTCTCCTGCAGAAGTTTAGGATATGTATCCCAATTATTCTATTCCTAATTTGGTTCTGAAGAAAAGGGTATATTAGGACACAAAATGCCAAAGTACACCATACCATATCAAGCACTTCTTTCCTGGCATAGGCCTTATCAGAGATCAGAATGAGATCCTCTACAACAGGAACAGAAACCTCTTCATATTTGCATGCAAGAAGCATGGCTGTCACCCCAACAAGCTGAAGTTTCTTCCTCACTACTTGATGAACTGCTAGAAATCTATCGATGAGGTTGATGGTCAGATATAAAGTCTCCTCCATCAGCTCAAATTTGTAGTGAACCTGTTTATTCCATTATCCTTCTCAGTTACTGGGATGACTTTAAATTCATCTCCAAATCATTATGGAAATTAGCACTATATAATTTACCTCTATTAGCCAGTCAATAAGAATAGCTCTCATCCTGTCATTGATATCATATTGCTGTGCCATATAACTTGAGGGAACACAACTACCACACTGCATTTAAGTAAAAGGAAAGGTTCAGACTCACACTCAACCAAAAAAATGAAGATGGGATGATTCTGTTCCTCTTTTTGTTTGTTTGTTTTGGGGAGGGGTGTTGTCAAATGAAGGATGGAGACAGATATGCAAAATTACCTCTGCTTTCTTGTAAAAGTGATATAAATCATCAATGTACTCAACAACTGCAAGTGGGTTCTTCTTATCAGTGCTGTCTATGTCCAAAACTGGCTCCTCAGCCACATCTTCCATTTCAACCTCCTCCTGCAGGGAGAACAAGCAAGACATTAGTGGCTTCTGCCAAAGAAGCTTTAGATTTATCTGTGTGGGTCTAAAGGATTAGTGGATACCATCCGATCAATCTCCTCCAGCATTGTCTCTGTGTGCTGCACAAACATTGGCACATCAAAATCACTACTTGCCTTATAGTTATCCACGTCTATGACATTGTGATCTTCTGTCTCAGGTGAACTTGGGACTGATTGGAGTGGTTTCCTAGTTTCCTGTAATTGTTTTTAAACCCATTAGCCCAATATTTTCATGTAATCCCATGTAACGAATCAAAGTCCATTAATTAAAAAATACCGCCTCAGATTTTTGTTGCTGCTTGTTGGCCAACTGGGCAGCAAACTTCCTGAACAAAGAGCAAGAATCATTAACATAAGGATGGAAAAAGGATAAATCATGGCATTCAAGACGTATCACCAAAACACTTAAAGAAACAAAAAGTTCGACTACTGACCTGGTAATTGGTCGGTGCAAAGGAATGGGTAGGTTCTTATCAGAGACTAAATTTAATCTGAATCCAAAGGTAAAAAGAATATCAACAGAATATTTGATGAAAGATCAAAACTTTGCTATAAAAGATAGAACTTTCTCAATTTTGTTCCAAGAATACATCCGGCCAGACAATCGGTGGATAAAAACTAAAATTTGAATTTTCTTTCCAAACAATGAAACATAAAGTTGAACATGAGGGTTTAAGAAAGTACTCAGATAAGGGTCTCTTGTTGACCGCACAAGGGTAAGCTGGTGCTCCAACAATATTCCGATTAATGGTGCTCAAAGCTTTCCGATTGTGCCCCGGCGCAGCCACAAACTTCCCTCTTCCTCCCGCATGAATACCCCCTTTATGGTATAACAAAAACCCATTTCTCAGATTTGGGCTTAAAACGTAAGTCTAAAAATTTAAACTAATTGAGACAAGTCAATGCACAGAAGCATGGAAAGAGAGATCGAAACAATTGGGATTAGTTACCTTGAACATTTACAGAGCCGATCACCCCGGGATTGTTCTCATCCGATCCAGCCATTTCCGTCAATCTGCAAAAGAAGAGCTTAAAGATTACAATTTGCAAAACCCAAAGAAAAACCATCAAAACCCCTCGATTAGAAATTCGCAACTCTTGAAGAAGAAGAAAAAGAGAGTGCAAAAAGCCCCATTAAGAACAGAGATGGGCAGTCCAAATTCCAACCCCAGATATCAAATTCAAAAACCCACCTTCGTTCAAGATCCTCTCGACAAATTACCCGTCGCCTATCTCGATCAAATGAAATTAAGATTCATAACAAGCAAACCCAAGAGAGAGATTACTCAGAAGAACACCATTGATGAACAGAGTGATCTCTCTCTCTCTCTCTCTCTCTCTCTCTCTCTTCACCCTTTCTCTGTGTCCGGAGGTTTCTTTTAGGTTTTTTGGGGGTTTATTGAAAAAAGGACGAAAAGTGAAGTGAAAAAAAAAAGACGCAAAGAGCGGATATATGTCCGCAAATGCCCTTTCTACAATTTTTTTTTTTTAAAACCAACGGCTAGTAAATTGGAGCCGTTCGATCTGCGATGAAAAGTCGCGTTCTTTGCTCTGCGCTCAACGGTTATCTACGCATGTGGTTTCAAATATGTTCCTCTACTTATTTTGTACTTTTTTTTTTCTCAGTGTAATTCCCCTTCTATGGCTAGGTTATATTAAAAGTTTGCTTCATAAATTTTTTAATGAAAAACTATTTTACCCATTCATTTTGTAACAAATTGTAAAATTAAGATTATTAAAAGAAAAAAGCCCTTGATAGTAGGCTTTCCTTTTGTTTTTTTTTTTTTGGTTTTATTCTTACTGTTCACTTTATAACAAACTATAAGATAGAACACTTATTTTTTTTATGCTATGTTTTATTTATGAGTTTTTATTTTACAGTTTGAATAATATATTAAAAAAATTATTTTTATTTGATTTTACATCGCTTGCTTTAAGTGTATTTATAAACTCAGAACTCTATAAACTAAATCAAATTACTGAGATATAAAATGTTTGGTGTGATATAAGATAGTATTGGCTCTATGGATAAGAAGTTTATTTATGATACAATTTTTAATAATTTAAGCAATCTCGTGACAATGTGTATTGTTTAATTGATACAGTTTAATTTCATATTTTTTGGATAAATTATTTATATTTTAAAAAATATAAATAATATAAAAGATCATAAATAAATTGTTAACTTCTTTCTTTGAAAAATAAAATAGTGTAAAAGTTTTGGTTTCAATATGAACCTAACCGACTAACCATTTTGGTTTACTTTTTATGTTTAATGTGGAGATATTGTTTGGACTGGCATTTGGTCGGGTCATGATCGGCTTCGGTCTCAATTGCAATTCCGCCAACTCCAACTAGTAATTGGCCTATGATATGGCCAGTCACGGTTCAATTTTTAGTTCCAACTTATTAACCGGTCCTAGTTTCAAGTTTGCTAGAAAAAACGGCCTGTGTAATTAACCATAAAAAATAAAATCTGATATTAATTAGCAAAAAAAAGAATAAGTCAGTCATTCATTCAAAATTAACAATTTTCTTTGGAAAATTTTTTTATAAACGGATTCAAAACTGTACATGGCATTATTCTCTTTAGGTGAGTGATCATAGTGGCATACCCCACCAGTATGGTATAAATAAGAAAACTAATTTTTTTGGATATTAATTCTAAGATTTAAACCTTATATTTGAATTATAAGACGATATTTACTTACTAATAAATTTAACTTTTGAAATGATTATTATCAAGTAAATGTAATTGGGATTGACTTCCTTAAGGAGATACCATATATAAATTGGATCCTTAGGACTTCATTAATTTTAAAGGTTAGTATTTAGCAATTAACAAAACACAAAAACTGTAAAACACTAGATATCCCGACTTTTTCTTGTTTATATACCTTGTATTGAAATTTGAAATAGCATTGCTTCAGTTGGTCTACTTGTTCTACAGTGCCAATATTTTTATGAGGGATCTACATCATATGTGATGCGTTGCAATACCTACATCTGTACAATATGGACCAAACCACTGTTGTAGAGAATTCATCTTTAACCAACTGAAGCCTCTCCTTGAACAGATGTTCTGGGGATGAATTCATCATTAGCTCATTCACCCACATAACTCCTCTCTGCTTTCATGGACCACACTAAATTTGCATCAAGAACTCTCTCTTCAGATCTACCCGTGAGACCTGGATGCTGCAAGAAGCCACTATTACAAGGAAAACTTGTTAATGTCCATTACTTCAATTTCTTTGGCTCGAATCCAGCACCTACTTAGCATCTATAAATTTTAGGTTAAACCTTCAATTTGATCCCTCAACTATTATATAGATCCTTGAATTGGTCCTTAAATTAAAAAAAGTCCTTGATTTGTTCTTTAAAATTTTTAAATTTAGCTCCAAGTTGACATGTCACATTAATAACATCACATATGGCCATCAAGTAACGGCCTTTTGTCATCAAGAAAGAGACACATCAATTGTTTTTAACAAAAAGAACAACTTGGAGTTAAATTTAAAAATTTTAAGAATCAAATTAAGAAATTTTTTTATTTTAAGAATCAACTCAAGAATCCGTACAATAGTTGAAGAACCAAATTAAAGATTTAACCTTAACAAACCTAATCACTAGGCGTAGTTCTTATGACGAATTGAGCAACTCATGAGCTAGATGGTGAACAATGCTCTTTGCCAAACAAGAACCATAGTGAACATGTAAAGCTCTGCCTAAAGGCAATTACTGGTTCTCACTAATTAAAGAGTTAGCTAGTGTGCTTGAACTTAAGAATGATACAAATCCTGCTTTCTTGTGTATATTATTATGAAAGCTTGCAAATTGGGCAAGTAGGTCTTCTCCAGAATTTGGTTATCCAATATAATTTTGATTTTGCAATGGAAATTCCAGATGTGGGAATTGAATTGAATCAAAATTTAAGGTAAAAAATAGTGTTCTTGATTAATGGGGGGACACATGATAAAGTGCGATAACAACTAAGTGTATTTTATCGTATGTAGTAGTTATAACATAACGAATGTGTCAAATCAATTTTTTGCCTTGTCTTTTTTATTCGTCGGCTAACATCTAATTGGAGGATCATATCCCATCAGCTGCCATGATCATCACATTGTATTTTTAGCAATGGATAAGTTCTCATACTCTTTTGTTGGATACCAAGTGTTGAGAAAACATATAAATAAGGATATTAATTTTGTATTTTTTTATTTAATAATTTTAATTTTATTTATTTTTAAGTAAGAATGTTAATTTTTAATTTTTTTATTTAAAAGTGTTAACTTTTAACTTTCAATTTTTTTTTTATTTGAGGATGTTCATATTTTTTAAAAAGTTCATTTGCTATGTCAACATCATCATATAATAAATCATTAAATAAAAAAAATATAAGTCAATATTATTAAATAAAAAAATAAAAATTGACATTTTTAAATATAAAAAGTCAAAAATTAATATCTTTATATAAAAATTGATAAAGTAAACATTTTTAAATAAAAAAATTATAAAATTAATATTTTTATTTACATATTTTCTCCCTAAACGTTTGATGAAATGCCGAAAAGAACTCGTGGAAACTACACTATACCTATTTTTTGAATGCCAAATTCAAAGAACAAATTTTTCTTTTTCTTTTTTTTTTTTTGAAAAAAAAAAATTCATTCACTCACAACAAGCCAATTTGTTTCAAATGAAACTTATACAAGTCACAACAGCGAGAAAGATATGAACATCAAAGAGCACATCATATTCAGAATATACTCATATAAACCCAGGGGCAACTTGCATTGCTCTTTGCTCGTAAAACCGAAGGGCAAACCCCACCCCACCCCCATATAGCAGGTCAGTAGCGTATATAATGTCAGTCTCCTAGAATCTCTCTAAGAGAAAGTTGGCAGGTTCAATTCTTGCTGTAAAACCATACTTGGATGTACTGTACTTTCGATGAACACCTGTAAGCCTCCCTGTCCCAGCTTTCTGATGGAAAGAAACCATCAGCCTTGAGCATTCCCTATACAAAAACATGGAAAGAATATTGAGGTAATGAATTAGTAAGAAGTAATACATCAGTAATGCTATTGAAGCATTAAAAAAAGATACTCACAAAAGTTGCTCCTCCGAGTAGGCAGTGTACCACTCACTGGTTTTAGTCCATTGCTTAGACCCACAAATGGTGCACTGAGCAGTGTAAATTGCAGCAGCAGCTAATACAGAGGGCGGAAACTTGAGCATTTCATATTCTACCAGGCAAAGCTCGATGATGAAGAATGAGAGAAGCTCAAGCTGGAAACAAGGCCATATTCAAATTTGTCTCAGAATCACTTAGCCAAACATTCAGTTATCCCAAAGGGATTCAATAAATTAGTGCATATCACAATGTTGTTGTTGTAAGAAAGCACAAACCTTCTTGTCAGATTGAGCAGCTTTCAGAAACCTCCTCATAAACACATATGATGTAGGAACAGACAGATTAAATTGCAAGGTATTGATCATCAGCTTCTCCTGCAAAAGTTTAGAATATGTATCTCTATTATTCTATTTCTAATTTGGTTATCAAGAAAAGGGTATATTAGGGCACATAATGCAAAAGTACACCATACCATATCTAGCACTTCTTTTCTGGTATAGGCCTTATCAGAGATAAGAATGAGATCCTCTACAACAGGAACAGAAACCTCTTCATATTTGCAGGCAAGAAGCATGGCTGTCACCCCAACAAGCTGGAGTTTCTTCCTCACCACTTGATGAACTGCTAGAAATCTATCAATGAGATTGATAGTCAGATATAAGGTCTCCTCCATCATCTCAAACTTGTAGTGAACCTGTTCATTCCATTATCCTTCTCAGTTACTGGGATGACTTCAAATAAATTCATCTCCAAATCAATATGGAAATTAGCACTATAATTATCATATATATGTACCTCTATTAGCCAGTCAATAAGAATGGCTCTCATCCTGTCATTGATATCATATTGCTGTGCCATATAATTTGGGGGAACACAACCACCACACTGCATTTAAGTAAATGGAAAGGTTCAGATTCACCCTCAACCAACAAAATGAAGATGGGATGATTCTGTTCCCTTGTTTTGGTTTTGTCAAATGAAGGATGGAGACATTATGCAAAACTACCTCGGATTTCTTGTAAAAGTGATATAAATCATCAATATACTCAACAACTGCAAGTGGGTTCTTCCTGTCAGAGCTGTCTATGTCTGTGACTGCTTCCTCAGCCACATCTTCCATTTCAACCTCCTCCTGCAGAAAGAATGAAAGCAACACATTAGTGGGATTCTACTCATTAAAAAAAAAATATAGATTTATATGTGGGTTTAAAGGATCAGTGAGTACCATCCGATCAATCTCATCCATCATTGCTTCTGTGTGCTGCACAAACATTGGCACATCCAGATCTCTACTTGCCGTATAGTCATCCACATCTATGACATTGTGATTTTCTGCCTCAGGTGAACTTAGGACCGATTGAAACGGTTTCCTAGTTTCCTGTAATTCTTCTAACCCATTAGCCCAATATTTTCATGTAATCCCATGTGAAGAATCAAAATCCATTAATCGCAATATACCATCTCAGAATTGTGTTGCTGCTGGTTGGCCAACTGAGCAGCAAAATTCCTGAACGGACAGCTAGAATCATTAACAAAAGGATGGAAAGATGGATAAATTTTGGCATTCAAGACATATCACCTAGCAACTTAAAAGAAACAAAAAGTTCTGCTCCTGACCTGGTAATTGGTCGGTGCACAGGAATGGGTGGCTTCTTTTCACAGACTGCATTTAATCTGAATTGAAAGGTAAAACGGAAATTCAGAACAGAGTGGAAAAAGAATATCAGCAGAATATTTGATGAAAGATCAAAACTTTGCTGGAAAAGATAGACCTTTCTCAATTTTTTTCCCAAAGAAAATACCCACCCAGACAATCGGTGGATAAAAACTAAAATTTGATTTTTCTTTCTGAGCAATGAAACATAGAATTAAGGTTTAAGAAAGTACTCAGTTAAGGGTCTCTTGTTGACTGCACAAGGGTAAGCTGGTGCTCCAACAATATTCCCATTAATGGTGCTCAAAGCTCTCCGATTGTGCCCCGGCGCAGCCACAAACTTCCCTCCTCCTCCGGCATGAATAACCCCTTTATGGTGCAACAAAAACCCATTTCTCAGATTTGGGCATAAAACGTAAATCTTAAAAATTTAAACTAATTGAGACATGTCAATGCACAGAAACATTGGGTTTAGTTACCTTGAACATTTACAGAGCCGATCACCCCAGGATTGTTCTCATCCGATCCAGCCATTTCCATCAATCTGCAAAAGAAGAGATTAAAGATTACAATTTGCAAAAGCCAGACAAAAACCATCAAAATCCCTCGATTAGAATTCGCAACTCTTGAAGAAGAAGAAGAAGAGATTGCAAAAAAGCCCCATCAAGAACATAAATCGGCAATCCAAATTCCAAAAACCCACCTTCAAATTCAAGATCCTCTCAACAAATTTCCCTCGTTTATCTCGATCAAACGAAATGAATATTCAGAACATGCAAAGCAAAGAGAGAGATTACTCAGAAGAACTCCATTGATTACCAGAGTGATCTCCCTCTCCACTCTTTCTCTCTATGTCAGGAGGTTTCTTTAGGTTTTTTGAGGGTTCATTGAAAAAAAGAACGCAAAGAGCGGATATATGTCCGCAGATGCCCTTTCTTACATTTTTTTTTTAAAAACCAACGGCTAGTAAATTGGAGCCGTCCGATCTGCCCGATGAAAAGTCGCGTTTTCCCCTGGGCTTAACGGTTATCTTGGCATGTGCTTTCAAATGTCCCACTCCCACTCGTACCAACTATTTTTCTGCATTATAATTTCCCTTACTACGGTTGAGGTGTATTAAAAACTTTGCTTCGTCAACCAACGAGGGGTTGAATCAAGTGGATGCAGCAGCTTTTGTTGGGAGACCCATCCACCATTTTTAGGTGCGCAACGTAGATCGGGTCCGGATTAGTTGAGGCGAAACCCCGGATATCGAACGAGAAACCGAAAAAAAAAACTTTGCTTCATCCATTATTTTATGTCATGTTTTATTTATGAATTTTTTATTATATAATTTAAATTATATTAAATTATAAAATAAAAATTGTTAAGTGTTGTAATATAATCCTGATATTAAGAATTTACTCTTATCTAATAGTTTAAATATGTAGTTTGATACAATTTAAATTTTCTTTAATAACA